GGTATATAAGTCTAACTGCTATTGCTATTGCTATTGTTTTTTTACCCCCACGCCATCACTCTGCTTAGCAACAAATTCCCTAAAATCATCCTGGGCTTTGAGGCATCACTTTTGCCCTCCTGGCTGAATTCAACCTGTACCTCCAATGGGTCTCCAAGGTGGCGCTTAGAAAGAGCCATTCCTCCTCAGGGAACCAGAGCAAGTGCATAGCTCTGAAGTGCAGCCAGCTAATAGCCCAGGCCAGGGTTGATTTCTTTCTGTGATTGGACTTTTGACTAATCAGCGGGTTTGAAAGTCGCCACTGCCATCTTGTTACAGCATCCAACTTTCCACCTCACCCTTCTCTTTGCTACTTCCCGGCTCTCCCTTTCAGTCGGACGGGAAATTCTATGCATATCATATCATATGATACAAGTTGCTTCCTGGCCATCCTTGCCAAGTTGTGAAGGAAAGCAGTGGGTCACCTGGAGCCAGATATTCCCGTTGAAAGGAAATCCAGCCGTGGGGAGAAGGAGGAGAGAAGCCACCCTTCTAGCCAGCTTTTGGCACTGTCTCCACCGCCTCCCCACCTCCCTCCCTCCCTCCTATCTCATCTCCTGGGCCTCCGCCACGTCCCCTGGGGAATTACGGTGCCGTATCTTTTGGAGAAACATTGGCTTCCCCGTCCCTCCCTCCTGCTTCCAACGGAGACCCTCTTGTGGCTCCCCAAAAGAAAAAAACTGGGCAAGTTCATAATTGTTTACACTGTCATGAAATTGAGAGGGGTCAGTTCTGAAAGGTTATTCTTAGTTCAGCCGCTGCATAAGCCACCCCTGATGTCACCGAGGGGAGGCTGGGCTGCAGGACGGTGGAAGGGATAATTAACAGGGAGGAAATGAAGAAGACAGTTAGAAAGGCGGCCATCCATATTTAGCATCGAAAACTGGGAGAAAAAGCATCACAAAATGTACTTATTATCCACTTAGGCTGAGTCCCTCTGGCATCTCTTCTCCAAGATTATAACTGGGACTTCCTTCCAGCCTCTGGAAGTTGTGTTGGTGTAGACATGTTTCATCCAAACTTTTGACTTTCTTCAGGACAATTCAGATCTCTCAACTGAGTGGGGGGGAAATGCTTCTTTGACTAGGAAGACTGCAGATTCACCACCACCACCACATAAAGACCAGCAACGGGTAATCATGTTGGCTGAAAACTGGAAAATGCTTTGTTTAATTCAGCCATGGACCTCACCGGAGAACTTCAGGACTGCATCCCATTCTCCAAAGGCAGGCCCTATCTTAAGGTCTCCTTATTCAGTGCCAAAAGCATAAAGTGACTTCAAGAATTTGAGATCCTTTCATGCCACCCACAAGGAAGGATCTCGTATCGTTTCCTATGTTTGTGGCTTTTATATTAAACCACTTTTATGCAACATCCTAAGTTATTTTCTTAGCAGCGTTGATTTTTAATGGCGTTTTATTGTGACATTATCAGCGAAGGACTCCTAAAACCAGTTTCACAAATCTTCAATTCTATTGCCAGATACTTCTACTCAACCTAAAGAAAACCAAATAAAGATTTATCTTGAAAAGTTTTGTTTGGCCAAGTAAATTCCATTTTCAGAAAGTCTGGTGACACTTGTGTTGCGTGCTTTTATTCAATAAGATAAATTATCTCGTACATATCCTGAAAAATACCATAGGAAAGTGGCTGCCAGAACAAACACCACAAATCCCAACCATATTGGATCTAACGGCACTTGTTCTATGCCATATTTTACTCAATAAAACTTTGGTTGTTGACCAGCACAAAGTACAAAAATAGCATTTATACAGCTACAAATAAATCCGCTAGAAGATGTGAAGAGGATGGCTCTGGAATTGCCCAAGAGCTGGACACAACTGAATGGATAACATCATCATCAAATAAATCTGTAAAATGTGTAAATTAATACAAATTGATTGAACTAACCTAATTTAAAATTACCAGCCTTACCCAGATTCAAGACAAAAAGCAACAGATGGAAAGTAACCAAGGAGAGAAGCAACCGAGAACGAAGGAGAAACTTCCTAACAGTGAGGAGAATTCACCAGTGGAATAACTTGCCACCAGAGTTTGTGGGTGCTCCGTCACTGGAGGCTTTTAAGAAGAGACTGGACAGTCACTTGTCTCAAATTGGTATAGGGCCTCCTGCCCGTGCAGGCGATTGGACTAGAAGACCTCTAAAGTACCTTCCAACTCTTGTTATTCTGTTATGTTTGGTTAAATAAACCTACATTGCATTGAAAAGCCTAGGAAGAGTCAACGGGGGCCATTAAAAAAAAAACCTCTCTTACCTTTGTAAGACAGTTTCAGTCTTGGAACATGGTGCTTTGACGTCCCCTCAGCCGAGAAGAGCAGAATCCCCCAAAATAGAAGGAGACACAGAACTTGTGGCTTGGAAATCCTCGCCCTCTTCATGCCTTCACAGTTGTGCTTTCTGTTCATATTGCAGAAAACTTGTCTTTCCTTAGTTGATCCAACAGAGGTCTGTAAAGAGAAATAAAAGATCATCTTTTTAGCAAACAGAGCTCGGAAAACACTTTGGCAGAAGGGTAAACAGTTCGACGGCTGCGCATTAAATTTTACAAGCTCAAAATACTTATGATGACCACAAATCAACGATACACCCGCCACTTCACCAAGGATAAATAAATAAATAAAAAACAGGGGCGTGAGACAAATTGATCATATTTGCACTAGTTATTGGCACATTTTCACAGACCCCGAAAAAAGAAAGTTGTAACCTGGTTCCAAAGTTCAGACGGCTGGAATATTCATTTTCTCGGGATGCACAAACTCCCAAAATGAAGTTCAGTTCCAAATTGGACAATTCATAAAATATATTATTAGTTTCCAATCGACTGATCTGGAACTGCACAGTTCAACTATACTGAAGAAATTGGGCTCTTATGTTTTATGATTACAGTTCGTTGTTGCTGGTCAATGACAGAGGCTTTGTTTGCCAAAACCTAATGTACATTTGCAGATGCCACAAGTTCCTACGAAGTATAAAAGACGACCAATCACAAAGGAGGAGGCGTTGCAGATGTGTTAAATGCTTCTCTGTGTGTGTGTGTGTGTGTGTGTGTGTGTGTGTGTGT